AAATAATCTCTTTTATTTTATCCTATTCATCATCAGTAATTTCAAAATTTCTGAGATCTTTATCTGAATTTGCCATTATATTTATTGCCTATAATATAAAAAAAAATATTATTATATTAATATAATAAAAAAAGCAAATGTATATAATATGATAAATACTCTAACCTTTTGCATCACAAATGCATGATTAAGCATATCAAATGTAGAGTTCTATCGTATTCTAATATCTAAGATAAGGTTAAGCTAAAGGTGTGATCCTGTCAAGTCTGGATAATCCGGATTGCATTTGGTCAAAAAAATTGAATCCATATGTGGATTCTTATCGATTCAAAAAAAAAAATCCACCCGTATAATTATACGGATCATCTGGATTATGAACAAATAATCCGTAATTTCTGGATTTGAACGGATTTTGACTGTTTGATCAGATTACTGTAATACAAAGCATCTTTTTTGTTACACTTAAATAAAATTTTTTTTTTACATTCTATTTTTTTAATATTTTAGCTTTATTACTATTACTATTATTATGAAATTTACATTAGCTATTACATTATCTGCTATATATATTTACACAATATTAATTACTCGATTTTCAGGTAATTTGTGTATACTATCCAAAATATTATAATTCCTTTTTAAAAACATCATTCTTTTAAAAAACTCTGAACTAATACGTGTTCTTTTAAGACCCATTAAATTTCCACAATCTGAAAACAACCGTTCACTAGGAGTTGAAGTGGTACATACTGAAAGGTAAACGCGTGCCAGTTTACTCAATATTGGAAACTTTTCCTTGTTAATTCTTCACCAGGAAAACAGATCAGTATTAAATGGTACTTGTGAAATAGCAAGGTATTCATCAAGTTCATTTTGGCTAACAGGTTGTTAGCATTTAAAAATATCAAAGAGTGTCGACTAGTAAAGTGTAGATAGTGTTGGAGTAGTAATAAAAGAAGCAGGAGGTGTAGGAAATTAGGGAGATTGTGAAGGTGAATGTAATGACATACTAAATTTTATGTCATTATATTTCTCTTTTAAAGAATAAAGAGTCCGTTCCATTTCATAAGGTGCAAAATCAAGCTTTTTAATTTGAGGAACAAGTATTGATGGTAAGTATGATATTTCGTGATCTTCTTTCCAATAAAAAAGCATTGCTTGATACAATATACATTTTACTGTTTTTAACATTCCCGAAATTTGCATAGGTTCATCTAAATTTATTTTTTTCTGACACTGTTTTTTATTATTATTAGCATCAGCTGGATTATCTTGA